GACAAGAGAGTAGTCAGTTCCAGGCAAGGGTCAAGGCAGGCGGCAGACAAGAGAGTAGTCAGGTCTAGGCAAGGGTCAAGGCAGGCACCAGACGAGGGTAGTCAGGTCCAGGCAAGGCTCAAGGCAGGCACCAGACAGGAGAGTAGTAAGGTCCAGGCAAGGGTCAAGGCAGACACCAGACAAGAGAGTAGTCAGGTCCAGGCAAGGGTCAAGGCAGACAGCAGACAAGAGAGTAGTCAGTTCCAGGCAAGGGTCAAGGCAGGCAGCAAACAAGAAAGTAGTTAGGTCCAGGCAAGGGTCAAGGCAGGCGGCAGACAAGAGAGTAGTCAGGTCCAGGCAAGCGTCAAGGCAGGTGCCAGACAGGAGAGTAGTAAGGTCCAGGCAAGGGTCAAGGCAGGCGGCAGACAAGAGAGTAGTCAGGTCCAGGCAAGCGTCAAGGCAGGTGCCAGACAGGAGAGTAGTAAGGTCCAGGCAAGGGTCAAGGCAGGCGGCAGACAAGAGAGTAGTCAGGTCCAGGCAAGCGTCAAGGCAGGTGCCAGACAGGAGAGTAGTAAGGTCCAGGCAAGGGTCAAGGCAGGCGGCAGACAAGAGAGTAGTCAGGTCCAGGCAAGGGTCAAGGCAGGCAGCAGACAAGACAGTATTCAGGTCCAGGAAGAGGTTGAGGTTTTCCCTTCACTTCCTGTCCCATAGCCAAACAGAAAGTAAGAGAAAATCCCTGCGAATTAAGGGACCCCATTGGAAGATTTCCCCTTTATTACCGTTCTCAGGACAACCCAACTTTGTCCCATTGGGGAAATTTCCCTTCATCTCCTGTCTCATGGCCAAACAGGAAGTGAGGGGAAATTCCTCCAAAGTGAGGGAATCCCTGGTTATTACCAGAACTAGTGTCCACAATGGGAATACCCGTTCTGGTGAAAATCAAACATTTGTTTTTTTTTCTTCAGTTTTGGTAAAAGTGGTCACCAGGACAGATAGAGGGGGTGAATCTACCTACTGGGGACACAGATAGCAATACAAACTTGACAGGGGATCTAACCCCTCTCCACTCCATCCAAAATGAAAAGTGTTGCCTTTAGTTATACTTTAAAATGATACTTCACCAAAGAGGGGAAGTTCAGCTTTTCCACCTCCTCCCCCACTTACGAACATATTTTTTGTTTGGGGCACAAGTACCTGTCCTAGGCAATCTGAGCAAAAGTTAGGCCTTTCCATTTTTTAAACAATGAGGTGTGGAATCTAAGTGGCAGTTGGACTTCGCCAGAGCTCCTGATGGTGAAGATTGGCGTGGAAACCTAGTAGGTTGCTGCAGACTGGCACCAGGTTGTGGTTCTCAGGATCGCCAGTCAAGGATGTGGCCGGAACAGAGAGGCTACGTTGTAGAGACTGTTCTCAAGGCTGCAGACAAGAGAGTAGTCGGGTCCAATCGAGGGTTGAGGCAGGTGGCAGACAAGAGAGTAGTCAGATCCAGGCAAGGGTCAAGGCAGGCAGCAGACAAGAGAATAGTTAGGTCCAAACAGGAGTTGAGGTAGGCAGCAGACAAAAGAGTAGTAGTCAGATCCAAGTAGGGGTCGAGGCAGCCAGCAGTCAAGAAAGTAGTCAGGTCCAGCCAAAGGTTGAGGTAGGCAGCAGACAGACAAAGAGAGTAATCAAGTCCAGGCAGGGGTTGAGGCAGGCAGCAGACAAGAGAGTAGCCAAGTCCAGGCAGGGGTTTGAGACAGGCAGCAGACAAGAGAGTAGCCAAGTCCAGGCAGGGGTTGAGGCAGGCAGAAGGCAAGAGAGTAGTCAGGACCAGGCAGGGGTTGAGGCAGGCACAAGAGAGTAGCCAAGTCCAGGCAGGGGTTTAGGCAGGCAGTGGACAAGAGAGCAGTCAAATCCAGGCAGGGGTTGAGGCAGGCAGCAGACAAGAGAGTAGTCAAGTCCAGGCAGGGGTTGAGGCAGGCAAGAGAGTATTCAGGTCCAGGCAGGTTGAGGCAGGCGGCAGGCAAGAGAGTAGTCAGGACCAGGCAGGCGAGAGTTCAGGTCCAGGGTTGAGGCAGGCAGCAGACAAGAGAGTAGCCAAGTCCAGTTAGGGGTTGAGGCAGGCAGCAGACAAGAGTAGTCAAGTCCAGGCAGGGGTTGAGGCAGGCAGCAGGCAAGGCAAGAGAGTATTCAGGTCCAGGCGAGGTTTAGTCAAGGCAGGCGGCAGGCAGCAGGCAAGAGAGTAGTCAGGACCAGGAGGGGTTGAGGCAGGCAAGACAGCAGATGAGAGTAGCCAAGTCCAGTTAGGGGTTGAGGCAGGCAGCAGACGAGAGTAGTCAAGTCCAGACGGGTTGAGGCAGACAGCAGGCAAGAGAGTATTCAGGTCTAGGCGGGGGTTGAGGCAGGCAAGAGAGTATTCAGGTCAGAGAGGCAAGAGAGTAGTCAGGTCCAGGCGGGGTTGAGGCAGGCAGCAGACAAGAGAGAGTAGAGGTTGCGGCAGGCAGAGAGTAGTCAGGTCCAGGCGGGGTTTGGCAGGCAGCAGGCAGAGCAGACAAGAGAGTAGCCCAGGCAGGGGTTGAGGCAAGTCCAGTTAGGGGTTGAAGCAGGCAGCAGACGAGAGTAGTCAAGTCCAGACAGGAGTTGAGGCAGACAGCAGGCAAGAGAGTATTCAGGTCCAGGCGGGGTTGAGGCAGGCGGGGGGCAGGCTGGCAGGTCCAGGCGGGGGGTTGAGGCAGGCAAGTCCAGGTGGCAGGTAAGACAGTAGCCAAGTCCAGGCAGGGGGGTTGAGGCAGGCAGCAGGCAAGAGAGTAGTATTCAGGTCCAGGCGGGGTTGCGGCAGGCAACAAGAGAGTAGTCAGGACCAGGCGGGGTTGAGCCAGGCAGACAGACAAGAGAGTAGTCAAGTCCAGGCAGGGGTTGAGGCAGGCAGCAGGCAAGAGAGTATTCAGGTCCAGGCGAGGTTGAGGCAGGCGGCAAGCAAGAGAGTAGTCAGGACAGGAGGGGTTGAGGCAGACAGCACATGAGAGTAGCCAAGTCCAGTTAGGGGTTGAGGCAGGCAGCAGACGAGAGTAGTCAAGTCCAGACGGGTTGAGGCAGACAGCAGGCAAGAGAGTATTCAGGTCTAGGCGGGGTTAAGCCAGGCAGCAGACAAGAGAGTAGCCAAGTCCAGGCAGGGGTGGAGGCAGGCAGCAGGCAAGAGAGTAGTCAGGTCCAGGCAGGGTTGAGGTAGGCGCAGACAAGAGAGTATTCAGGTCCAGGCGGGGTTGAGGCAGGCGGCAGGCAAGAGAGTAGTCAGGTCCAGGCGGAGTTGAGGCAGGTGGCAGACAAAGCAGTAGTAAGATCCAAAAGGCAGGGGTTGAGGCAGGCTGCAGGTGAGAGAGTAGTCAGGTCCAGGCAGGGGTCAAGGCAGGTGGCAGTTGAGAGAGACAGGCCAAAAGCCAGCCCGGTGAGGATAGCACTGGACCCCCAGACAGGTAAGTGTCCTTTTAATAAAAATAAGGAGCTACAGTATTTGTAGCTGTTTGACTTTTTATTTTCTTTGGCGGGGTGGGGGCTGAAAATCCTCTTTAATTACCTCCAGTCACTGGCCAGGGAAAAAAAATCAAGGGATCTGACTTTACTGGATACACGCTTGTTCCTAGCCAATAAGGATTGAAGCTAGAGACAGCCAGGAAAGAACAATGGCATCCTCCATATTTCCTTTAAAGTGTAACTCCATGAAAAAAAAGTTTTCTCCCATGCAGTGGGGCTGCATGGGTTAGCTGATCATTTTGTCTGGGGGAGCACCAAAAGGCTATACTTTACCTGATCCTTCAATCCTCCGGAAAACCGCACTCCCCCCACCCCTCCGGAAAAACCGCACTCCCCCACGTCCAGCAGTGGACTGCTCCTGCCACCCTCATGTCTAGGACCGATGGAGACAGGTCTTGTGCACAGAGAATTAGAGGATTAGGCAAATACAGGGGTTGAACAAGAATATGGAAACCCTCCATGATTGGCAGATATAAAAAGTGTCGACATGGTTGGCGTTGAAAGCGGAAGTGATGTAACATTCTTTCGCTGTGTGATGAGACACCTAGGTAACAGGTAAGAAGCCTCACTTTCCTCACTGACTTCCCATGTCAGAGCTTACTGAGCTTCAAAGAGGGCCAATTTTTGGTGCCGCTTAGCTGGCGCCTCTGTTATTACTGAAGTCACGAATTGATTAGCCGTGTCACGAGGTTCAATATCAAAGGTTATATAGTTTCTGGGAAAACGCCTGATAAGCACCGCCCACGTAGTCACCTGACCAAAAGGACATTGTGCAGTATTGTGACCCAGAATAAGAATACAACAGAAGTGACGCAGTGCTCAATCTCAGTCTTCCAAAGCCCATGTTCACAAACACTGCGCGGAGGGAACTCCACCAGCAGAACATTCCCGGGCGAGCTGTGATGGCCAAACCACTAGTGACCAATATTAATGCACAGAAGAGGAGAGAGTGGTGCAACACCCATAAATGGTGGACGATCGATTAATGGAAGATTGTATTATGGTCCGATAAATCGATCTTCACACTGTTCCCAACCACCGGACGTGTTTATGTGCGGCCAACACCACCCCAAGCTTACCACCAGGACTGTGTTGTGCCAACTGTAAAGCATGGTGGCGGTGCATTAATGGTTTGGGCAGCCATATCTCGGTATTCTGCAGGCCCCATCATCACCGTGAAAGGTAGAGTCACTGCCAATGACTATGTACAAATTTTGTCCGACCACGTGCACCCCCCCCCCCCATGGTGCAGACATTGCTTCCTGAAGATGGCATCATTTAGCAAGACGATAATGTATCCTGATTCACACATCTGGTGTCAAATTATTGTTGGATGAGCATTATTTACTATTATTTATTTCAGGAACCTTTACAGCGCCATCAATGTACACAGCGCTTTACATATACAGGCCGACCTCGGATTACGAACTCCTCGGTTAACATCATTTTTGGTTTACAAATTTTTTTTCGCAATATGAATTGTATGTCAGTGTTGGTTTTCACCCCCTTCCAGTCCGGACACTTTCCCCCCCTTCCAGTCCGGACACTTTCCCCCCTTCCAGTCCGGACACTTTCCCCCCCCTTCCAGTCCGGACACTTTCCCCCCTTTCCAGTCCGGACACTTTCACCCCCCTTCCTGCCCGGACACTTTCACTCCCTTCCAGTCCGGACACTTTCCCCCCCTTCCAGTCCGGACACTTTCACCCCTTCCAGTCCGGACACTTCCCCCCTTCCAGTCTGGACACTTTCACCCCTTCCAGTCCGGACACTTCCCCCCTTCCAGTCCGGACACTTTCCCCCCCTTCCAGTCTGGACACTTCCCCCCCTTCCAGTTCCGAGTCCGGACACTTTCACCCCCTTTCAGTTCGGACACTTCCCCCCCTTCCAGTCCGGACACTTTCACCCCTTCCAGTTTGGACACTTTCACCCCCTTCCAGTCCGGACACTTTCACCCCCTTCCAGTCCGGACACTTTCCCCCTCTTCCAGTCCGGACACTTTCACCCCTTCCAGTCCGGACACTTTCACCCCCTTCCAGTCCGGAACACTTTCCCCCCCCTTCCAGTCTGGACACTTCCCCCCTTCCAGTCCGGACACTTTCCCCCCCTTCCAGTCTGGACACTTCCCCCCCTTCCAGTCCGGACACTTTCACCCCCCCTTCCAGTCCGGACACTTTCACCCCCTTCCAGTCCGGACACTTCCCCCCCCTTCCAGTCCGGACACTTTCACCCCCTTCCAGTTCGGACACTTTCACCCCCTTCCAGTCCGGACACTTTCACCCTCTTCCAGTCCGGACACTTTCACCCCCTTCCAGTCCGGACGCTTTCACCCTCTTCCAGTCCGGACACTTTCACCCCCTTCCAGTCCGGACACTTTCACCCTCTTCCAGTCCGGACACTTTCACCCTCTTCCATTCCGGACACTTTCCCCCCCTTCCAGTCCGGACACTTTCCCCCCCTTCCAGTCTGGACACTTTAACCCCCTTCCAGTCCGGACACTTTCCCCCCCTTCCAGTCCAGACACTTTCCCCCCCTTCCAGTCCGGACACTTTCCCCCCCCTTCCAGTCCGGACATTTTCACCCCCTTCCAGTTCGGACACTTTCACCCCCTTCCAGTCCGGACACTTTCCCCCCCCTTCCAGTCCAGACACTTTCCCCCCCTTCCAGTCCGGACACTTTCCCCCCTTCTAGTCCGGACACTTTCACCCCCCCTTCCAGTCCGGACACTTTCCCCCCCCTTCCAGTCCGGACACTTTCACCCCCTTCCAGTCCGGACACTTTCCCCCCTTCTAGTCCGGACACTTTAACCCCCTTCCAGTCCGGACACTTTCCCCCCTTCTAGTCCGGACACTTTAACCCCCTTCCAGTCCAGGCCAATTTTTCAGCTTTCAGCGCCATCACACTGTGAATGACAATTGCGCGGTCATGCAACACTGCACCCATATGAATTTTTTAGAATTTTTTTTTGAGACAGATAAAGCTTTATTTTGGTGGTATTTATTCACCGCTGGGATTTTTATTTGTTTTGCTATGTAAATGAAAAAGTCCAAAAATTTTTAAAAAAGTGTTTTTCTTATAAAATTTTGCAAATAAATAATCTTTCTTTATAAATCTTGGCCAAAATTTATTCTGTTATCTTTTTAGTAAAAAAAAAAAATAACCCAAATTAGTTTATAACCAAAATTGGTAATTTAAAAAAATGTTTTTTACATTTTTATTTTATTTTTTTATATTATTATTTATGTATTTTTTTACATACTGTCACCCTAGCAGTACAGTGTCACATAAAGGCTGTAAGGAATCATTTCTCCTTCTCTCTGGCTGCATTCCTGCAGCCATTGAGAAATACTATGTGAGCTGTGATTGGTCACAGCTTGTCACATGGTACAAGGCTGTTGTGAATGGCCCTGTACCATGTGATCTCTGTGATCATTCACAGATTTCACACGTAGTAAGCAATAATGTCAGAAGTGACATCTTACTTACTACTCTGCATGTGATCACTGATTGGCCAATCAGTGATCACATGATCGGGACCTCACAGAGAGGTCCCATACGACGATCGGTGTTCCACTGTGTCCGGAGAATGCATTAAATTTGTAAATTGAGGTACGCCTGTATATTGTACATTCACATCAGTCCCCGCCCCCGAGGAGCGTACAATCTAAGGTCCCTAACTCACATTCATACATACACATACTAGGGCCAATTTAGACAGGATCCAATCAACCTCCCAGCATGTCTTTGGAGTTAACCTTTGCCATTAGACACATTCAGTGCTGGAGGTGCCGGAACTGCACTCCCGCTGAAAAAAAAAAGCCCTGGTCCTACCAAAGGAAGTGCAGATCTGTCAGGACCTGAATCGCCTGATGGTGGCACTGTGGTTCCCAGAGCAGGGCCGTCTTAGTAGCCTCATGGGCCCCTGGGCAAAGTAATGCACTGTCTTTGGAGTGTGGGAGGAAACCAGAGCACCCAGAGGAAACCCACACAGGCACAGTGAGAGCATGCAAACTCCAGGCAGGTGGTGCCGTGGTTGGGATTCAAACCAATGACCCTAGTACTGCCAGTTGAAACTGCTAACCACATAGCCACTGTGCTGCCCATGAAGCATGAGCTTCATGAGACGAAGTCTCGCACCTTCCCTGGACACCGCAGTCATAGAGACACTATGGTCAGTTTTGGAGAAGGTTGGGGGCTCATTTTCCGCCTCCGGCATCTCTGCGAGAACTGGAACGATTTCTGCATGAAGAACGGTATCAGATTTCATGATCCACCGTCCAAGACTTCTATTTGTCGATTCCCAGAAGAATTCAGGCAGTCTTGGATGCCAAAGGCGGTCCAACACCATATTGGGTAACAATTTTGTTCTTTTGGGTTTCCAAAATGTTGTCCAACCTCCTGTATATCTCCGCTCTACAATCCCCTAGACCAGGGGTAGGCAACCCGAGAGCCGCAGGACCACAAGTTCCATCATGCCTCTGCAAGTCATAGCTGTAACTGTCAGTAATCTTTGCAATGCCTCATGGGAAATGTAGTTCCACAACAGCTAGAGAGCCGCAGGTTGCCTACCCCTGGTCTAGACAGAAACGAGCAGTGAACCCACGCATTGCGGGCGCAGCCCCACTGCATGGATGGAAAAACATTTCTCAGAGTACTTCTTTAAGGTGGTTCAGGAGTTCCTCAGCCCTCCGTCTACATAACCGGAACAAGAGTTGAGCAGCAGATGTGGTTAGCCGAAATCAATGTACGCATGGCGTGCCGGAGACAGAAATGACTCACAGGGGACCATAAGACGGAGCCAACAGATGTTTAATATTTGTACCGCATTGAGCGCAGCGCAACCATTCCTCACCCCCACAACCATAATGTTGACGTTGAAACAATCTGCTGGTGTTTTTCAGGGCAACACTGTACGCATGCTTTCTATTTACTTCACAGGAGCCAATTATACAGAAGTAGTTTCATACTATTATTTTTTTTTTTAAATACTCTTTATTGACTTATAAAGTGGAGAATACAAAACAAAACCTGTTATGGTATACCCGGGCTTGATCAAATCACAAATAATAATAATAAAAAAACACAAACACGAGGAAAAACATAACACAGATAAGGTGAACAACAACAAACAGACGACAACCGCAGCCAATGACATCACAGGGCTTAGATATGGTAGACGACAATTCCCAATGACAAGAAGATCACTGACAACCCACACCGAGCAAAAATATCTGCGACAACAGAACCATCACCCGATCCTAGTCAGGGCTGGAAGGGACCGATTCGGAAGAGTCCATCCAGATATGCCACGCCTTCGTAAATGTAGCGGGACCCCCCCTGGGATCAGAAGTATATTTATATAGAGGGAGAACCGTATTAAGCAGCTGTTTCCGGAACCTGGATGTGGGGGGCAGGAGGGGACTTCCACTTTAACAGTATCGCTTTGCGGGCACAGAAAAGTAAAGAACCAATCAAGGTTCTCATGGCGCGAGAGATAGCCAAGGCCTGGACCAAGCCCAACAGACAGTGCATACAGATTTTGTGCTGCCCTAGGCAACACCAAAATGTTGCGCCCCCCCCCCCCCCAATGAGAGAGCGAGAGAGTTCAATAAGTGTGTGTATGTATATATGATTCTCTCCCCCCTTTCTTTCTGTTCCCCCCCCCCTCTCTCTTTCTCTCTCCCCCTCTCTCTATCTCTCCCTCTTTCTCCCCTCTCTCTACCTCTCTTCTCCCCCCATCTCCCTCTTTCTCTCTCCTTCTCCCCCTCCTCTCTTTCTCTCCCTCCCTCTTTCCCCCTCTCTTTCTTTCTCTCTTCCTCCCTCTCTCTTCCATCCCCCCTCTCTCCCCCCCCCCCTCTCTCTCTCTCTTCCCCCCTCTCTCTCTCCCCCCCTCTCTTCCCTGCCCCACTCCCCCCCTCTCTCTCCCTCTCTCTCCCTCCCACTCTCTCTTCCCTCTCTTCCCCCTCTCCCTCTCTCTCTTCCCTCCCTCTCTCTCTTCCCTTTCTTTCTCCCCCCCCCCCTCAGATCATATGGGACCACACACACACCCCTCCCCCCTCTCCAAGGACTGCTGATCTCCGTGCAGCAGGAAGGGGGGGAGGTGTGTGCAGTTCCATATGGTCTGTCAGTGATCAGTGTCAGTGTAATCTGCTGGATGGATGACAGGAGGGAGAGCTCACAGAAGACAACACAGCTCACCTCTTCCGGGCTCTTTCATCGCTTCTCTCCCTGCTCCAGGCTGTCCCCTGGTCCTGGCTTGTCAGCTGCTGGAGGGAGAGGTGCACGATCGTCGCTCTGCAACCACCCTCCCCCACATTGATCTTCCTGCTGTCTGCCACTGCTCAACGGGTCCCTTCTTTGGGGGGGGGGAAGGGGGGCGGTGCCGCCCCCCTATAATTGCTGCCCTAGGCAAATGCCTTGTTTGCCTCGCGGTGGATACGCCCCTGCCAACAGACAAACCTCAATAGATAATGGCACAAAAACCGTGGTTATAGAGGATATATTGTCCAGTACCTCTGGATAACAGGGCAGCTCCAGAAGATATGTAAAAAATGGCTGGATCCTCAGGGCAATGCCAACAACTAGAAGGGTGTTCCGGGAACATCCGGAGCAGCCTCTGAGGAGTATAATATATTCTATGTAGAATCTTAAACTGAATCAATCGGTCACGAGTAGAAAACAATTGCTGCACAGGGTGCTCCTA